CTCTAAGAGACTGCTGTACCCCATCACATCCGACACTATTGTTACAACTCTTGAGGAGTTCATTGGATACCTGGCGCCAAATTCCGATTTCGCCGCTTCGACTGGATCACGCCTGGACGAGCACATGAAGGAGTGTCTCAGGAAAGACTTAGGCGTCATGGAAACCTCGGATCTTCGTCGCAGCAGACACCGGTTTCTGATATTTTGCTCAGTCGCTCAAGCCACTCGATCGCAGCCATTGGCCGCGTCTATGGTGGGTTTCCTGCAGGGTCACCTACACGAAGTCGTGTACGATGAGCAACCTGAAATGCGGAGGGAGTGGTACATGAGCCTCAGTGCATTGGAAGGCTTGGTATCCGAGCGAGTCCTGGAGCAGCTGTTACGCTGTTTCTGGGGTGCTGTCGGCCGATCATACGAGATGAGGCGGCAGCCAGCATGCTACGACCCATGCGCTGCGGTGATGATGAAACGGCAGCACTATCCGTTCTTCGGTCATCAAGGTGGGATGATGCCACCAAGGCTCGAAGACCCAAGAGACAGATGGCTATCTGTTGGCCGTCCTCATCGGCATCGATATCGTCAACACCATCCTCGAAATGCATACCCATGGATCCAGCGGAATGGACATTTTGATGATGTCGGAAGGCTGCAGTATCAGCAGGAAAGAATATACTCGAAGCTCAATCATATTGGCCGGAAGCTCGAGGACTTGTAGTGAAGCTCGAGTAACCATAGTTGGCAGGGGAAATGGACTTTGACGAGCGATTCAACGATATGGCCGAACTGTGCACACATGCTTGGTTGTTTTCTTGCCGAATCGTATCAGATTTACTAATCCGTACCTGTAACGATTAGTTGGCCTCGAAGTAGCATGAGGTCCATTACAAACTTACTGCTATATCATCATGTTGCGCGAAACATCACACCCATTCTCCTCTGAATATACACTATGCTCCATGCGCCTCGCTAATTCAAATGATGTCCCCTGAATGTCTAGGAAACCGTCCTGTCCACAATCCAATTGGTGTAGCTATGCCATCACCTCAAGTAGTGAATAACCAGCCAGCAGAACAGGAAGAAGACGACGACTCCACCCCAAAATATCCACTTGTCTTGTTTCGCTCTCCTTTCAACCATGCGTATCGTGTCACCACTAATACCCAAAGTATTCGCGACAGTATATAGCCGCCTCTGTGTCCCTTTGAGCATTTCCCTCTGTTGTCCCAGATCGCCGAGGACCGTCCGTCCTCTGTCTAAAAACTCATCCAACTGCTCTGACGTCTTGTTGAAAAAGGTGTTTTCCCTCAGCACATGGCCCTCGCGGTCGTAGTCGCCGCCTGCTGGCGCGCCAGCTGAATAGGGGTTCGGTCGGTAGGGGGCGTTGGGGTTGTAGGGTTGGGAAGGTGCGAACGCCGAATGTTGGGCAGAGAGATTCGGCTGGGCGTAGGGATTTTCGGGGGTGGCTGTGTTGTGTGGGCGACGGCCTAGCAGTTCTGTACGCGCCTCTGTGGTTTGCTGTTCCTAGTCAGCAAAGGCGTTCGCAATGACAAGACGAGAGTCTTAGGCGTCGGTTCGAAACGTACGATTTCCTCGTTTACACCTTTTATGCGCTTGAAATTTGTCCGGTACTCTTCGAGTTCAGCCCGGAAGTTCTTTAACCTCTCATGTGCCTTTTCTGCTTTGGTTTGCACAGGCTCTTGCTTTGCAAGCTTGCCATAGTCATCGATAGTGCGCGCAAATGTGGCTAGGGACGCGTTGAGTTGGGCTTGGAGATGTGGTGATGGCGAGGCTGAGTCGGCAAACTGGTCCAAGTCTTTTCGTATCGATGTCGATTGCCGTAAGGCGTTGTTGAAGAGCGCGTTCTGTTTGCGACGTAAGTTTGTGTTGAGCAGCAATAGTAGATGAGGCGTACCATCGCGGATTGCCAAGGTTCTCGTTAGGTTGGAGTGAAGGTGTTACTTCAGTATAGGTTCGAGATGTATTGCGAGGTGTGTTACGGCGAACGTTATACTGTAGCCTTGTAGGCAGACTTTCGCGACTTGACACATTGCATCATCGCGAAGTCCGACTGCTGGACCCTGAGTTGCCAAGCTTTTAGCGCATCAGCGCTAGCAGCATCGTAGGATTCCCTCCAGTTCACTCTCCATGGTCCGACATCTGGGTACTCTACCACGATGCATATAAACTTGCAGCTTGACCCTACAGCTTCGTGCAAAGCTGCCGATACTTACGTCCGATACAGACAGCAGATCCCGGCCAGAGTCTGAACCGCCTGGACCCCCGCCCTGGATTCCTGGACGACGTCGCGACTACTTCTATAAGTGGCCAACTACAGGGCATGGAGATCTAACGTCCTGGGACTTCTGTTCTGATCAGTAATTGCGGTCTGCAATCCTCACGTTACCCAGCTATGCAGGTTGCTGTGAGAGTATACCCGCACAAGCCACAGTCGTCAGTTCCGCCTAGTGATAATTCTCCGTTCTACCCTTAGTCATTGCACTGCGCCCTCCTCCTTATCGGCGTTCATCTGGCCTTGTCAAGCCTTCAGCCATCCGTGGTTGACGTCGCTCTTCCTTCTCCACCTGCCTAATCCGGTAATCTCCTACCCTGTCGGCAAGTAGCAGGGCTGGGTATTTACGCTTGCCGAGCCGCGGAACAGGTGCATCTCGAGAAGAGATCGCAGAAAATGATGATGGGCACCCACTGCAGACCCAGTGTGCTAACTGGCATGGGAAGTTCGTTGTAGACCACTTCCGATATGCGGATCCATGCCATAATGTGCCGTCTCGCACATTGGGCGACGGCCCATCTCCATTTTCGATATAAGAAGCCGATTTGCGAGCTTTGTTTCTGATAATCATCTCTTCATCGCAGTCATTATGTTTCTTCGATCAGCACTATTTGGAAGTGCGCTGCTCTCGAGCGCCTGCGCGCACGAGGTTCTTTTCGGTCGCGATCTCCCGCTACCGGTGGCTGCCAATGCGGAGTCATATACCGACTGTGCCAATGCAGCATGGCCTCCGTCCAACGTCGGCGTGGAGCTGATTCCGCAAGCACCGGACGATGAGATGCGAGCTATCGTGAATGAAATCAGTTCAGCAAACATCGAGGCTACGATCACCAAACTGGTATCGTTCGGAACCCGCCATACCCTTGCCACATACAACAGCTCGACTCGCGGAGTAGATGCAGCGAGGGATTGGGTAGCCTCCGAGATGCGAAAATATGCTGCGGACAGCAACGGCACGATGACGGTCGAGGTGCAAAGCTATTTGCAAGGAATAGCCAGCAGAATCCCCTTTCCCGTGTACATATCGAATGTGCTTGCGACTGCCAAGGGAAGCGAGACTCCCGACAGGGTATATGTCATGACCGGACATATTGACAGTCGGGTCACCGACGTGCTTAACTACGATGCCGACTCTCCCGGTGCCAACGACGACGCGAGTGGAGTTGCTAGTATGTGTTCCTTGAAAGCATTATTACAGGATCGAAGCTGACTTATACAAGTTGCGATGGAGATTGCGCGTGTTCTTGCCAAGCATCAGCCCAAGTCAACAATAATCCTCGGTGCTGTATCTGGCGAAGAGCAGGGTCTATATGGCTCCACTTATCTGGCACAAACACTCAAGAACTCTAGCACGAATGTCGAAGGCATGCTGAACTGCGACATTGTCGGTTCCTCAACTGGAGATCGAGGTCAGAAAGACCCCTACACCATTCGCGCCTTCGCTCAAGGTGTTCCGCCTCTTTCAGCCGAAAACAACGTCACAGCAGCGCGACGACTCCAAATCGGTGGCGAAAACGATAGCCCTGCACGAGAGCTTGCGCGATTTTCAGCTGAAGTCGCTGCCAACAATGCCACCGGCATGAACGTAGCCATCATCTACCGCTTGGACCGCTTCTTACGTGGAGGTGACCACACTGGGTTCCTCCAAGCGGGTTACCCTGCTATCCGCTACACGGAGCCTAATGAGAACTTCGCTCATCAGCATCAAGACTTGCGCACCGAGAACGGCACCGTCTACGGCGATCTAATTGAGTTCGTCGACTTTGACTTCACAGCACGTGTTGGCAAGGTCAATCTCGCGACGCTTTGGTCCCTCTCCCAGGCTCCTGGCATGCCACGCAACGTCACCATCGACACGACAGTTTTGGACAACGACTCACGCATCAAGTGGATTGTTTCCAATAGCACAGATGTCGCGAGCTACGAGATTGTGTGGCGAGCCACTACAGCAAGCCTGTGGACTCGCATGCTTGATGTTGGCAAAGTTGGATCAGTTGTGCTTCCGCTTAGCAAGGACAATGTCATCTTCGGCGTAAGGGCCGTCGGTACGAATGGGTACAAGAGTCCGGCTGTCTATCCTTTCCCTGGATAAAGCACTGCTCTACGGAATGACGCAGGCTTGGGAGCTCTAACGAACCAGGTACTGCCAAATGTACAGTATACCTGATTTGTTGTACGTATTAATGCATGTGTCTAGCGAGTCTGCGAAAGATTTGGTTTCTCTTCATATGACGGTGTGCTCACACAGGTCCTCGCAACCATTTCCGCTTTCAGTATGGTAGCGCCAAGCGTTACTGGGTGTTACAATATGGTGACTGATTCCGAGTGCAAGACACGGGCAACGTACGGAACCTATACAAAACTTCTTATATTTGTTCACCGTTCGTCAGAGACCGAACCTCATTGTTCTGCGCTGCTCGTTTTTCGCTCGGTGTTTGCAATCATGTCGTCTACTCACACCATAACTCAGACAGATGCAAGCGCCAATCGACTTCCAAGTAATGCACTACAGGCGAGTATGGAATTGCAACATGTAGCACCAGCGACGTTACGCGACCAAGGACGTAGACAGGATGACCAAAGAAGCAGCGGCATCGAGCCAGCCGCATTCTTTCCCCAACCATCGACCATAGTATCAGTAGCTGAGCGATGGAACCATCCAAAAGCCAATGTATCCCGCACACTCGCTGTTCTCTTTGCGTTCACTATCATGGGCGCAAATGATGCCACATACGGTGTAAGCAATACGACCCTTTCGTATACATGGACACTAACCTTATACAGGCTATCATTCCTTACCTTGAGGAATACTACGATCTAACATATGTTGTCGTCTCGCTGGTTTTCCTATCTCCGATGGGCGGATACATTAGTGCTGCACTCCTCAACAACTGGCTGCACATCCACTTTGGTCAACGGGGCATTGCTTTCCTTGGACCTGTTTTCCATCTAGTAGCCTACGTAGGCATCGCTCTCCATCCGCCGTATCCCGTTCTGGTGGTCTTGTTCATCTTCTCGGGATTTGGAAACGGCATTGAAGACGCAGCCTGGAACGCGTGGGCAAGCAGCTTGGCCAATGCGAACGAGGTTTTGGGATTTGTACATGGGCTATATGGGCTGGGGGCTTTGCTTAGTCCGCTCGCTGCTACTAGCTTGATTGCGAAGCGTGGATGGCAATGGTATCAGTTCTACTACATCATGGTCAGTCGCCACATGCAAGGACACTCAATGCATTGTTGCTAACCTTAAATAGCTCGGTGGCGCCTGCATTGAGCTTGCGACATCGCTTTACGCATTCCGATCGAGTTCAGGTCAAGTGTATCGAGAAAAATCGCTTCGCGCGAATGCGGAAGGTGAGAGCCGTCTCAAGCAGGCACTCAGAAGTCGCGTCACCTGGACTGCCGCTGTCTTCCTTTTCGGGTATGTCGGAGCCGGTGGAGCGCTTGGAGGCTGGATTGTTACCTTCATGCGCCGGGAAAGAGCAGGTGGCGAATTCGAATCTGGCATTGTCGCGACCGGATTCTGGACTGGCATCGCTGCCGGCCGCCTTGTCTTGAGCTTCATCACACCAAAGCTTGGCGAGAAGCTCGCTGTCCTGGTACGGTCAAGATCGGAATGGAACCTGCATAAGCTAATTGCACGACAGATATACATTGTTATCGCCATCACATGCCAACTTATGTTCTGGCTCGTTCCATCCTTCCACGTCTCAGCCATCTTTGTCGCACTACAAGGCTTCTTCCTCGGTCCGCTCTTTCCAGCTGTCATCGTCGCAGCGACTAAAGCTCTTCCGCCACATCTCCATGTCTCTGCGATAGGCTTTGCTGCCGCGATAGGTGTTGGCGGAGGTGCTGCGTTACCCTTTGCTATCGGATCGCTTGCTCAAACAAAAGGCCTTGGTGTCCTACAACCTATCATTCTGGCTGTTCTCGCAGCTCTCTTGGTTCTGTGGCTGTGCTTTCCGAAATTGGAAAAGAGAAAGACGGAAAGAGGGGTGCCACTGCTCTCGCCAGAAGAGCAAAGAAAATGGTGGCTCAACGTCGATATTGATCTTGTAGAGATCATGAGACGTGTGGTGACGAGGGATTCGAGTGGCCAGATGGTCGCAACTGCCTAGGAACGTTAGCACATGGTGTTCATAACCCAGCCCTGAAGGGCTCTTTCCACTTCCACCCGCGCTAGTTTCATTGTGGTGTCAACAAACCGACCCTCACCCTGCCTTCTCTCACCACCTTCGACTTTATTTCTTCGCAGTCGACATCATGTCCTCCAACTCACCCGAGGCTTCATCATGCTCCATCACAGACAAATTGCGCTCTCTGAGGGCTGAAGTGGATGAGCTCGCTAAGACCCTCGCTTCCGATTTGGACTCCTCCACAGAGACGCTTGTCGGACATACACCATCAACACAGAGTGCGGACACTTACCCGGGAGCTGAGACAAAGCCGAGTACGCCATCAACATCAACCAACGACGCCAACCAGAACGAAACTCGCGAAGGACACCCATCCAATTCTGACGACACCGATATCGTGTATCATCCCCATCTCCGCGACGTGAACAGCATCCCCGACCTGAGTTTCACCTTGACGGAACTCGTAGATATCCCCAACGACATCATCAAACGGTACTACGGCGATCGCATCCACTTCTCGCAATGGTACGCTGGCCAACCCTATACAATGGCCTGGTGCATCAAAGCGGATGATGTACTCAATCCTATCGCTATTGTCATTCGATGGCCCAACGACTCAAGTCTTGATATCGTAAAAAAGGACGGCGACAGCGACAGCATTGCCCACGTGTCAAGACACCAAGAACGGACTAACACCCTGGGGACGGCAGCCGCCAACATTCGTCTGAAATTCGGATGTGATCGGATTGGCTTCTACGACGGTGTGCATCTGATTTTGTTCGTATTCAACGATAAACCCCAGTCAGGTGTCACCGTATTCGTGGGATGGTCAGATGAAATTCGCTACAAGCTCATTATGTGGCTAGGGGAGGCGATCAGAAACACAAACGTACAGATGCTGAAACCGCTTGTGGGATACGCGCTGGAGGACTCGAATCTGGAGGCCGCGGCTCTGGAGACTCCGCCGCAATGTTTCCTACATGACAAACATATCGACAATAGCGAGGTAAGCAGCGCGCTACTCACGTTCGGCGCCCAGTACGGTGGCTGTGCATTCAAAATCTACACAACCCCTGATGGCAAGCTCGTCAAAGTGGGAGACAGCCCACTCCATACTGTCGACGATTCCGCAATCGCCACACCGGAAGGCGTCCTGAAATCCTCACAACTCACTTTGATCGACTTTCTGGTCATTGCCGGTAAGGATCACTCTCCGGCCCTCAAACACAGCTACGATATTGTTCCCGACGCCATCACCTGGTATGTGCGCAAGACCGGCGAACGCAACGCGAAGGAGCTCGTTGGTATAGTTCAGTTTGCTCCTGCCGGCACGATCGTACCCGGCGATTGGGGTCTCCGGAAGCCGGACCTTACGTTCACGAATGGCGAAGGTATCGTGCGCACGGCGAAGCCCCTTCTGGAAGCCATGTTATCATTTGGACAGAAGCGGGAGTGTTATTGCTTGGCATTATTCGACTATCACAACGTCGTCTTTGTGACGCGTTGTAAGGGAACGAAGGTGAATGCAAGCATAGCGTTGATTGGTGGGGAGAGGATTCGTGGCGGGTTCCTTCAGTGGCTGATACGAGCATTGAAGATTGCAGATGAGGATTTCGATGCTGTTCAATGATCTTCCTAGTGCTGAGATGGATGCCATGAATAGCTTGCACTACCAAATTCCAAACCTTACGTGTCGCATGAAAACATTTGAGTCTTTACAAGTAAATCGTGGCTGAGACGACGTATACTGCAACATTGATAATATTCAGTTATTCTCCTCCATCGAAAGACGCACTCTCCCCGTTCGTCAAACCTTCATAAAACCTCCAGGAAGTTCAGCCAACCCTGAATCGAGTAATTAGTCAAAGAGGATCTGTAAAGCGATACGGCATAACTTACACCCATCAACATCCTCATCAACAGTGCGCGGAATAGTACACTTCATCGCTTCTTCAGTAGTCTGCGAGTCCAACACCGAACACTTATCACCTATGCAGCGCGCATTCATAGCACGCTGGAGTGAGTCGTCCTTCCAGCCAAACACGTAGTCTCCATGCTGCGAGAACCCGTCGCTGTATTGACAACCCGTTAGATTCGATCAACGCTCGAGGAGGAGAAAAATGAACTCACCTGTCCCCCGTACTAAGCACAAAAGGCTGACTCCCATCCTCCGGCCACAAAGCCTCGTCGTTGAACTCTCTTGTATCCCACATAACCTCATACATAACCTGCGGTATAGCCACCGGATGTGACTCAGGACACGTCCCCGTAGGCCCGACATCGGTTTCTCCCGCCCCGTCCGCATACGCCACATGACTCTGATGGTCCGGAGAATCCAAATTAACGCCATCCCAGCAAGTCGGAAAAGTGATAACAGAGCGAATACCCCCGGGACAGAACCCCGTAGGAAGTGTCTGCGCATCCGGCGCTGCGCAATTGAGATGCATGTTATCACCTGTCTCCGGCATACACCTATAACACACCTTCCGAGCCGACGTTTTCTCCGTCGCCAACGCATCCCCAACCAACATGCGAAACCCGGGTCTGAAAGCCGTAACACCAGTCTGATTCTTTGTATCCGGCGTATAATACACCGTTATCCCCGCCGCGCCTTTCAGCCCCTCACTAACAAACTGCGGCACCCTTTTATACGTGCCATTGCGAGCGCGGAAGTACAAGACTGCGGTCCAGTAGTTTGAGAAGTCCTCAGAGAAAGTGCAGCTTGTGCATGTAGAGGCGGTGACGAGGTCGTGCGAGGGGGGCATGGAGGCTGTGAAGGAGTTTCCGCCGACGATCTGGTGGAGGTGGGGGGAGGGGATTAGGGAGGGGGTGACGAGGGGGTCGAGGCGCTCGACGACGAGTTGGGAGCATTGGAAGCGGAGCATGGGGGGGATGGTTATGTTGAAGAAGGGGGGTTGGGCGGAGACATGGCGGGCGAGGAGGAGGAGGGGGAGGAGGGTTGGTCGCATGTTTGTGGTTGTGAGAGGTGGTCTTGGAAATGAAGATGGGAATGACGAGATGTCAAGAATATACACGACGTGAGCATACAGAAAATGTAGACTCTAGATATCTGCTTTCCGGACTTGCCTGCCGTCTCTCGCACCAGACCCACGATCACATGTTGTTGAGTGAACAGCCAATATCGGTGTGATGGCTGCGGGGCCCGGGAGTCACTCCCTCGGGTCCTGACCAAATGTCGTACGACTTCATTTTAGCCTTTGAGAACGCTGGCAGTATCATACTCGACGATCACTGCGATACGCATGTGGGGCTCTGAGTGTATATGAAAAGTAAATTGCTATTGCTGCAAACCCATGTAGGCAGCTGCATGCCAAGGGCATCCTCCAAATCCTTTAGCTGATTTCGAAGCCCGATAGAGACGCAAGGAAGAGTTGGCATGTAAAAGGAGATATATTATCGCCAGTTTAAGACATGCATAGCTGCAAAACCTTGAAGATAAAGATGCTATGTACTAGCAAGGACGTATTCGGTACTCTTGGGACAGCTAGCTGTTCACGTCTGCGTCGACGTATACAGCACGTAGTATCGTTCTCTGCTCTATAGGCGGCTTCTTATGACCGTGTATTCGTAATATCCTTCAAGTTAAACAAGACGCCATCTGAAGTGTGTGACGGTGGTTCTTCGTATCGAGGAAGCATCACGACGGAGTCTTGAGCGAGAGAGATGGTTCGGTTTCTTAGACGTACGCTCGTGTGAAATGATGCGTTAGTCGCTTTCGGGGTATCTAAGGTCGTTATCATATTCAGCGCGGCATGGTTTGTAGTCTAGGTGAATCGAAGAATCGAACTCTAATCTTGTTGCAGAGCCGAGATGAAGCGGGCTTCGGGAAAGAAGCGTAGTCCGTGGAGTTAATTCATTTGCCAGCTTCCTTCATCGTGATAGCCAGACCAGAGGCAGTACTTGACATGCTGCTACCACTGCCACTTTTCCTTCTGTTGTGTTGTTTGGCAGTCTCGGAGCCGGCGCTACCACGCCGACTATTTGAGGTGGGCTGCACAGGGAAGTAGCCAGATCCGTCCTCGATGGCAGAGCGTACTGGTGTCCTTGCCCTGCTCTGCACCGGGCTCATGCGGAACGCTTCTGATCCAGCACTCCACCGCTGGCCCGGGCTTGCGCCGCCTGTCAAACTCCGGGCATGCCTCCGGGTAGGCGTCTCGGCAGGCAATTGAAGCCGTGAGTTGATGCCCATCCACAGCGCCTCTTCGTCATCGTCACCCGGCACTCTCCACCCTCCCACGCCCTCAAAGTCACGCGTCAATTCGCTTGTACCAATGAGCGCCGTGAGAGAGTTGTTCTTATGTTTCAGGAGACGTGACGTATGCGCCGACTGTAGAGCTGCATCTTGCGACGATGTCGTGCTAGCTGTGCTTGTGCGGCGATGGCGCTGCCCAGTCGGGGAGTGCCGGGCGGACGAAGGTATGAGAGGGACCCGAAGCGGAACTGGCTTCGAAGTCGAAGGAGATAGCCATGCGCCTATGATTGCAATGGCGAGACGGCAATATACGGTTAATGCGCGGAAGGAGAGGAGCGATACGGCGATTGAGGTGGTGACGACGGCGAAGAAGGCGAGCGGGATCGAGACGGAGAGCAGGATGAAGGGCGTGACGGCGTAGACGGGGTTCCACAGGCTGAGCTCAGCCCTGGATGAGCCCAGTCGAAGGAACATGATGGCGACCCGTGGTGGAGAAGGAAGGAACGATGACGGGTGTTCGCATGTGAAAGTTGCGGGGAAGCGCCAAGGTCAACCAGACGCGACCTCTCCACCCCTTCTCTGCGGAGCATCGACAGCGAGCCTCTCCGCTCAATTCCCGCTGAATCGCCTTGCTGTGGTCCGCGCAGGTGTAATTCCAATTCCGATAAGCACGGCACTGAGCGATGTGCCTTTGAAGATGCTCTCGTACTGCTCGATCTTCAGACGGGTCGAGTAGGGCTGACGCTTGATGCGGAGAAATGTCGCGCCTGTGACGGCCAGCCAGGCGCCGAAGAGGATTTCGTAACGGTACTTCTCCACCGCGGTTTCCGAGGCGTTACCAGACATGATACTGATGCGATCGGTCAAAAGCAAAGGTGGAAGGAGCGATGAGGGTTGCGGAATCGGGCGGCAGAGGCCTTGATAATATGGAGGATTTCATGACGTCGTTGGTTGGCTCACCATCACGCGCTCGCCACCGCTACTTGCATCCATCACACCACGCCTCAGACCGCTGCCGTGCGACGGGAAGACATCGTGAACAGTATTGTCCACTCGTTCTCCATCATTGCTTTGGCACATAGGTCTCTACCGCCCTACCATTGTAAACTTACTAGCGCCTAGATACTGATTGGATCGCTTTGTCCATGCACGACTTCCTCTTTGTCTCGACCTTATCACGGAATCACTCACCGCAATTTCATTCTAGATAGTACATCACCCAAGATCTCAGCCTCATTTCAGGCTCACAATCTACCGAGACTGAAGCGCGTATCATGTCGACGCGAAATGTATTTTGGAGGATCGATCGCAAGTCCTTGACTATTATTCCGATTACCGTTGCCGTGATTCTCGGCATTGCATTCCTGCTTTCACGAAAGCTAAAACGAACCTTCTTCGGTCGTTCCAAGAAATCGATACTTCCGTTAACTAACACACCGCCACGCAAGACATCTTTCCAGCACCATCTCCATGCCTTGCGCACGTGGTGGAAGTCTGCAGTCTCTTCTGCCACTAGCTCGCCTCAGCCTCACGACCGCCTCACTCATCGAGGATGGTTCCAGCGTTACAATGCCGAGAAAAGTCTCCTTGAGGAAGAGCGTTGCAAGGAGATGCGAAAAGAATGGAAGCCGAGAGTGTTCATTCAAAATTACAGGGAGCACTGGAATCGGATTGCCGAAGAGCAGAAGAAAGCTCGACAAACGCAGTGGGAGAAATTCAAAGACAAGGTAGGACTTTAAGTATGTATCGATATAATATGCCATCACTTCTCATCATGATATCTTGCCATTAGTACGTTTTGTACATCGTCTTTGTATGCAATGTGATCTGCGGTGGTACAACTGGGCGCAGCACACTGACGGCTTTGTCTCCTGCAACTTCTTCGAACAAAGATGATACTCGGCTATGCTCTCGGTTAGTTATAGATTCCTGTTCTACTCTCGAAGACCATAGTCATAACTTCAAATGTCATCTGCTTTACGAAAAGATGGCTACATCAATTATCGCCTCACATGTCCACAAAGTCGATCTGGCTGATGCATCCGCTGAAGCGTCAGTCGAGGAACTGCAACCCCAAGGCATCTCCAATCAAACGATCATCATTATAGTTTCCATACTAGGCTCTGCAACCATCTTAGCCATTGTCGTCGGAGTTATAAGCTACTTTCGACATCGACGTCGGAGAAAGGCCAATCAAGAACGCCAACAGGAGATCGAACGGAGTTTGCAACGGGCTCGACGACCCGTCCTCACGTTAGACACAGATATATCAATCGCAACTCAGTACAGGAGGTCGGTTGCTCGAACCGGCTAGCGGACATCCTGCTATCAGATATCCCCGGGCCCGCAATGTGACCAAGATTCAAGCACTGTGCGACTACATGTCCGGATGTTCAACACACAGTCGCTTCAGCTTATCAAGATAGTTCCTGTCTCAATGCTTCATCTCAGCCCACAAAAACCCTTCAAACTATCAGTTTCACAAACTCAAGCCCGGCCAATACTCATGGCATTAACCCACGACCAAGTCGGTGCCATAGTCGCTAGCTGCGCAGGCGCGGTCTTGCTAACCATCTTCATAATTCTTATTTTCGTCCACCCGGTCCGACTTTACACTTTCTCGCGACGCACATCTCCCCGTTCCAACCCAGCATTTACTACCACAGACGAAGAATCCCAACGTCTCTCCATACCCGACCCCCGTTTCTCCCTCCTCAGCCACTTCGAAACCGTCGGTAACCTAGTCATACCTCCCTACCACCGTCCTCTTCCCTCAGCGCTAGACATCATCAACCGTGTAGCCATAGCTATCGCTTTACCTGCAGGTACGAAGCCCGCGGACTTGGAACGTGGGACGGACGACGGGGTTCCAGAAAAGGTGTCGTGGACTCCGATTGAGCGTCAAGACTCGCTTGTCATGCGTGAGAGTGCTGCTCAAGAAAGGAAGAGGATGTCTGCGAATCATATGGAGCAATTGGAGAAGCTGCAGAGTATGTTTGTTATTGGTGATGGTGAGGAGGATGAGGATGAGGAATGGGATGATGCTGATTCAGTAGATCATGACTCGGAGGTGGCTCATGGATTTGGGTCGGGTAAGGCTATGAATGCGCTGTATCATGCGGAGTAGATTATATTAGAGTAAGATGGTGATGTAGATGTTGTGGCAATATGAGATCGTCTCGTATCGTGCAATGGGGGTTGGGAGATTCCAAGAGTCATTACAGGAAGTCATTTGAGCATATTAAGGAGCGTGAATACTAAAGTATATTAAGGCAAACTCAAAGCCCAGTGCGTCGACTCTTGTTGTTCCCCAAGTTTCCAGATACACGCCATCCCATGGCATCTCTGCATTATCTTCACCAAGCCGGAATAGAGCAGGCGAAGTCCTTGATCTCCGTCGTCGCGTGTGGTAGATCGCGGGTGTACTGCATCTCTGGGCAATAGAGGTGGCTGTCGGTTTCGTGTTGTGGCAAGGAAGCAGAACGCGGGAAAACGCGCCTCGTCTCGGCGCAGATCAGCCGCCGCGCGCTTAGTCAGCAGCTGCTCAACACGCGACGCGTGACGCGTCTGTTCCTTCCATATTCACTCGTTCCTTCGACTTATCCGTGACCTCTCTCCGCCGTTGCACACCGAACTCAACATCGCAATCGCATCAGCTCCGTTCAACCTAAAAGTACGGATGCGATGGACACTGATGTTCTCAAACCTTACTCAGCCTGAGTAACACGACCTGCGAACTGTCAAGCACCTGCGGCTCCAGGAGAGCTGTCTGCACGTGTCACAGAGAACGCAAATTTGTCGCGCGTGCCATGAATGCAAATCTGGTACTTCACATGCTCCACAGTCGCTAACCCACAGACACAGCCTCAGCATCGGAGCTCGCGAAGGTATCCTAGACCGCAATGTTCGGTGGCACGCGCTTCTTGTCCTTCGAGAACTACCATTCGCTCGCATTACAGGCATTGTTCGCACCTTGACTGGCCGATTAAAATGCTCATCACACAGCTTCAATGTTGTCCATGGTCATTGGCCAATGTCTCATGTTTCAAGATCGTCGCATTACCGAACGGGCCGGTCGCGGGATGATCACATCCACTAGGACAGCCCGGCAGTGAGGTAAAGCCCTCTGCAATGCTGTTTTATTGCTCCTTCAGCACCCTGTGCGACGTCGAGAGATGGTCTCGGCCACAGATGGGTTTTGCGATCATGCGGGCGGCTAGATGGCTTCGATTTGGAGAAATATTTCTCTGACCTGTCCTACAGTAAGACTTCTTCACTGCGAGCAGTCCTCCATCTACAGCAATGCGATCCTCGCGCAAGTGTCAGCATTACGGAGTAACAGGCCCCAGCGCATAATGCGCCTCTTTGATATGCTGCACGTACGACATGAAGTGGGCATGTTTCTGATGTTTCTAGCGTTTCTAGTTCTACGTCTAGGATGTTTCAAGAACGGCACCCCGGACAGCATCACCATGTCCACTCTGCTCGACATATAGTATCGCTGTGGCTCTTGGCCGGGCGCCTACTCTTGGTTCCTGAGTGAGTGTTGTGGCAGGCCACCGCCATTGACACATTCGCCTTCTGGTTTCTTCTTGCACATGTATTTGAGATACCCCACTACTTCCTTATAATAATGTTTGCGTTTGCTTCTGAAAGGCCGGTCTGGCACCTACTGGCATGCTTTACGACCTTCTTTTTGCTTTACTCATCGGCTGCCTTTTGGTTCGGCTCACGGGGATCATTCGCGAGCGAGCATTACCCAGACAGCCTCACAGCAATCTTCTCTACACAGACCATCGATGCGCTCAATCAAGACATAAGGTTGCGCAGTGCGCTACTGTCACTAACAGAAGCTATCGCACTATCATCCAGTGATCTTGGTGAGAGGCTTCGTTCGGAAAGTCTCCAGAATTTTGGCGCCAATCTCACGGATGGTATCAAGCACGTTCGGTCGAAAGAGGGGTCAGAACTAAAGAGGAGGGACTTGCAGGATGACATCAGTAGTACTTTCCGAGATTTGACGGGTGCTGGTGGTATAGGCGGGTTCAATCTCACAGGTGGATTGGCCGGTGTACTGGGCAGCCTAGGGGACTTGATGACGGGCTCCCTTGGTACACCCGCTTTGTTTCTGGGTATAGGTTTAGGGTACGTAGGCGCCCACCACAACGAACAGACTAACCATTAGCAGCATGGGTACAACGACTGCTCTCAACCTGACCGACATGGAGGAAGCCAACGCGATAGCTTCGAGTATCGCCACCACCTACAACGCTTCAGCAAGTGGTGCGAACCTCGTCGCTCAGCAACTTGGAAACGGCCTATCGAGGCAAATCACCCCTTCCTTCGACAGCAACAATTTCTCTCTCGCCCCTGCGGCCTTTGCCCTGGCATCTGGCATTGGTAACGCGACTGCAGTAGGGTTCGGTCTGACAGAGCAACGTTTCGCGCCTTCGTCTGATTCGAGCATTGAAGGT